ACACCTTGGGGACACCTTGGGGACACCCTGGGGACACCACAGGGACATGGGGACACCTTGGGGACACCAGGGACACACAGGGGACACCTTGGGGACACTTGGGGACATCACAGGGACACCCTGGGGACACCGGGGACATGGGGACACTGAGGGGACACTTGGGGACACCACAGGGACAGGGACACCGAGGGGACACCAGGGACACACAGGGGACACCTTGGGGACAGGGACACAGGTACAGGGCCAGTGTCCCCTCCATGGCACGGACCACGGCGGTGACCTCTGACCCCGCGGGGTGTCCCCACTGTCACTGACCATGGCGGTGACCTCTGACCCCGCGGGGTGTCCCCTCCGTGCCATGGTCCCCGCCAGGTGCCGCGCCCCGTAGAGCGAGTCGCGCTCGCTCCAGGCGCCGAACGCCTCCTCCCCGTCCAGGAACAGCAGCTGCAGCGTCAGGGGGGGGTCCTGGGGGGACACACCTGTCACACACCTGGGACACACCTGTCACACACCTGGGACACACCTGTCACACACCTGAGGGACACACCTGTCACACCTGGGACACACCTGGACACACCTGTCACACCTGGGGACACCTGGGATAAACCTGAGATACACCTGGGACAGCTGCAGCGTCGGGGGGGGGTCCTGGGGGGACACACCTGAGTGACGCACCTGTCACACCTGGGGACACCTGAGTGACACACCTGTCACACCTGTCACACCTGGGACACACCTGTCACACAACTGGGACACACGTGTCACACACCTGAGGGACACACCTGTCACACCTGTCACACCTGGGACACACCTGTCACACAACTGGGACACACGTGTCACACACCTGAGGGACACACCTGTCACACCTGTCACACCTGGGATACACCTGAGTGACACACCTGTCACACCTGGGGACACCTGGGATAAACCTGGGGGACACATCTGGGGACAGCTGCAGTGTCAGGGGGGGATCCTGGGGGGACACACCTGAGTGACGCACCTGTCACACCTGGGGACACCTGAGTGACACACCTGTCACACCCCCAGGTGCTGTCACACCTGGGACACACCTGTCACACACCCGAGTGACACCTGTCACACCTGAGGACACCTGGGATAAACCTGGGACAGCTGCAGCGTCAAGGGGGGGTCCTGGGGGGACACACCTGAGTGACGCACCTGTCACACCTGGGGACACCTGAGTGACACACCTGTCACACCCCCAGGTGACCCCCAGACATCCCCACTTGTCCCCAAGTGACCCCCAGGTGTTCTGAAGTGACCCCCATGTGTCCCCAGCCATCCCCAGGTGTGTCCCTCACCTGTCCCCAGGTGTGTCACCCCTCACCTGCTGTCCCCTCTTGCTCAGGTGCGTGTCCAGCGCCGTGGCCAGCTCCAGCAGCAGCGCGCAGGGCACGGTGCCACCTGTCCCTACCTGTCCCTACCTGTCCCCAGGTGTGTCAGGTGTGTCCCTCACCTGTCCCCAGGTGTGTCACCCCTCACCTGCTGTCCCCTCTTGCTCAGGTGCGTGTCCAGCGCCGTGGCCAGCTCCAGCAGCAGCGCGCAGGGCACGGCGGCGTCGGTGGCGCCCACGAAGGTCCCGTCGCTGTCCCCTTGGGTGTCCCCAGGTGCGTCCCCCCAGGTGTCCCCCCGGGCGCCCGGCGGCAGCACCTTGGTGTCGTAGTGGCAGGCCAGCGCCAGGCGCCGCGCCGCCAGCGGCGCCGCCGTGGCCACCACGCTGCTGAAGGTCACCTGCCCGCGGGGCGTGGCCGCCGAGAAGGTGTCGAGCTCCAGGTGCCAGGGCGTGTGGACAGGTGGGGACACGTGGGGACAGGTGACATGGGGACAGGTGGGACATGATGTGTTGGGGACAGGGACAGGTGACACAGGGACAGGTGGGACACAGGGACACAGGGACAGGTGTGGAGCTCCAGGTGCCAGGGCGTGGCCAGCGAGCGCAGGTGCGACACGATGTGCTGGGGACAGGTGGGGACTCAGGTGGGGACAGGTGACATGGGGACAGGGACAGCGAGCGCAGGTGGGACACGATGTGCTGGGGACAGGGACAGGGGACAGGTGACATGGGGACACAGGTGGGACACGATGTGCTGGGGACATAGGAGGGGACAGGTGGGGACACAGGTGGGACGCAGGGACAGGGGACATGGGGACAGGTGGGAGAGGATGTGCTGGGGACAGGGACAGGGACAGGTGGGGACACAGGGACAGGTGGGACAGGTGGGGACATGGGGACAGCGAGCGCAGGTGGGACACGATGTGCTGGGGACAGGGACAGGGGACACAGGTGACACAGGTGGGACACAGGGGACACGATGTGCTGGGGACAGGTGGGGACATGGGGACACAGGTGGGACACAGGGACAGGTGTCGAGCTCCAGGTGCCAGGGCGTGGCCAGCGAGCGCAGGTGGGACACGATGTGCTGGGGACAGGTGACACAGGTGGGGACAGGGACAGGTGACATGGGGACACAGGTGGCACAGGTGGGACACAGGTGGGGACATGGGGACAGGTGACACAGGTGGGGACATGGGGGGGACACAGGTGGGGACAGGGACAGGTGACATGGGGACACAGGTGGCACAGGTCGTCACTCAGCAGGGACACGTGACCCCCCCAGGGCCACCCGCGGGGCTGGCACCGAGCTGGGCGGGGCTGTCCCCATGGGGACACCGGCCTGGGGGGGACTGTCACCTCCCTGGGGCCACCACCCATCTGGGGACATCTCTACTGGCTTGTCCCATTGGGGACACCACCCTCCATGTCACAGCCACCTCCATGGTGCCACCAACCCACCTGGGGACATCGCCATTGGGTTGATCCCATTGTCCTCCATGATGCCACCACCCCACCTGGTGACATCTCCACTGGCTTGTCCCCATTGGGGACACCACCCTGGATGTCACTGCCACCTCCATGGTGCCACCAGCCCACCTGGGGACATTGTCACTGGGTTGATCCTATTGTCCTTTATGGGGACACCACCCTGGATGTCACTGTCACTGTCCTTGGTGCCACCAACCCACCTGGTGACATCTCCACTGGCTTGTCCCCATTGATGACACCACCCTGGATGTCACTGTGCCGCGGGGCAGCCCGGGCCTGCGGAGAGACGGCGTGACACCGGGGGACACTGGGGGACACTGGGGGGACACAAGGGGACAGTGGGGGACACCGGGAGGGACACAAAGGGGATCTGAGGGATCCTAGGGGACACCGGAGAATCCCTGGGGACACGAGGGGGATCCTTGGGGACACCGAGGGATCCTCGGGGACACAGGAGGGACACCAGGGGACCCTCGGGGACACCAAGGGGACATGAGAGGGACACCAGGGGGACACCGAGGGGATCTGAGGGATCCTCGGGGACACGGGGGGGACGCCGGGTGACACCAAAGGGACCCTTGGGGACACCGGGGGGACCTTCGGGGACGCGGCGAGGCCACGCCCCCTTTCCCAGGCGCGCCGCAAGCCCCGCCCCCTATCTCTCCGCCCCGCCCCCCCGCGGAGGCCCC